TCGTGGTTGTTTCCAGTGCATCTGAAGCAAGTCACCATCCTGGCAAAGAATCATCCATGCATTTCAGCTCTTGTTGTGGCTGTTATATTTTACACACCGGCTTCGTATGTGTAATATAATTTCTGCTACAGATGTCAGTGGCCATTTTCCTTGCGGGGCATTCCATTCTCGCGTCACAGAGATGAAAAGTTATGTTGATCGGTACAATGGGTGAGAATCAGCATTGAATGACATTGGAGACGCTGTTGCATGTCCGAATAATGTACGGAAACGTTTGCTATGTGATTAATAACTTTGCATCACGATGAAGAACCAAAATATCCAAACCTACGATGCCAAAATAGAATCGTCTGATACTGCCAATCGTCCTGACGCGCGGCTAGGATCAATATCGCTCCCCGCAGCGTTATCTCTCTCTCTCTACAATTTCAGCATTGTACCATGATTGTAGCACGCGTTGGAATGGAGCTCTGAATCAATATCCAGGCTCCGGTGTCCTTTATCAAACCAATTTGCGTGACTCGTATGGCATGCATTGATTTGCGAAACATTTCATCGGTATGTTGAATAATATTCAATGCTATATTGTATAGTAGTTCTGTATATACAATTCTTATTATTTATTTTGTCCATCTCTTTAGCGTTTTAAACATAGGACTATGGCCACATAAATATAATTTCTTGTTTCTCATTACCGCCCGACCCTAAAATCTGGGGTCCAAATCTGGCCCGTCCCTAAAATCCTTTTTATTTATTGCGCTGGTAGATTTGCGTGTACAAAGCAGGCAGACTTCCGAAATCCATCTCCATTATTCCAAATGTTCGACTAACATTGTATACTGAAAATCCGAAGAAAAAAATATGTAAAAATAAAAATAAAATCCGCACTACCTACCCATTTAAAAAAAGAAGAAAAGTTATGAGAAACAAGAAATGTATTTTATGTGGCCTAAACTAAGCGTTCTTTCACAAAATATTTCATTGCGGAATTCCCTAATAAAGAAAGAAAGATGATGCGGTATTGCCGTATTTTGTTTGTTATACACTTGATTCAGTATCAGTTTATTTGAACAGAGAATGCCCTGTGTAGATCCGGGTTGAAAATTGTTTTCAGCAACATATGCTTGTCGTTTGAGGCGAATGAGAAGATCGGAGGTCAGGCTTCTTGACTTGGTTGATGTCCGTCGTAGCCCAGTTCTTTGGTCGATGCTTTGATATTAATAACTTGACCACTTCCACTTCATCACAGACCGCCTTATATGCATATGGAAATATGTAAAAAACATCGAATGGAATTCTCTTTGTATTCAGCGGGGTTTTTTTTCTTTCTTTTTTCTTTTATGTTTTTATGTGCATATATATATTTAAATACTCAACTAAACGTGTGGATTTCTTGTTCTTTTATGTTATGGCAGTTGTTGCGACTCTTTTCAAATGTTATCTGAAATCGCACAAGTCGATTCTGTGTACACTGCTTCGGTCCGTTTTTTATCCATTTTCAGATATAATTCTCAATGTCCGGCTTTTGTCCCAATAAATATTAAGTGCTTAAATTTGTATGGCGCCTAAATCCAAACGTTGTTCAAAGACACAGATCATACGCTCTTTGAAACAGTCAAGGTCTTCATTTCATGCTGGAATGTCTGAATATCAGAGATCGGGTGTTTGTGGTTTGGAAGTTTATTTAAAGGACTGGACCCGCCTTAGAAAAACTCTTATCTCCATGGGATCATGTTCGAGATTTGGACATAGTCAGCTGTTGAGTGGAAGCGGATCGTAGCATTCTCCCGGCTGTTACCTTGTGATAAGCTCTTACTGCAGGAGCTTGACGCTGAAGAGCTTTATGCTGACATCAGACCCGTGAACACATTTATGTCTTGCGCTGGAAGCCAACTGTCGTAAGAATGGTGTCACATGTTCATACTTGCTCACTTATCAATTTTGCCGCCGAATTTTGCATTTGTGCAACTGTCCAGGCATTGATTGTTTGATCCATACAGGCGAGATGTCACGAACACATGGATGAGTGTCTGTGTTGCTCCTCTATCAATGTATGTCGGGTCTGACCAATGTTACGCAGGTGATACTATACAGTCTTGCATACAGGGGCCGGTGGGGTAGCCTAATGGTTAAAGCGTTGGCTCGTCACGCCAAAGACCCGGGTTCGAATCCCCACATGGGCACAATGTGTGAAGCCCATTTCTGGTGTCCCCCCGCCGTGATGTTGGTGGAATATTGCTAAAAGCGGCGTAAAACCAAACTCAGTCAGTCAGTCTTGCACACAGCGTCTGGATGACGCCCCCAGAGTAGATTGGAAGATAAGCTACCAAATTCCGTGCTTGGTCACTTGGATTGACACTGCACTCTCCGATTTGTAAAGTGGGAACTGTTCGAGGGAGCAATTGTCTAACTAATGATGAAACGAACATAGAGAATTTTCTGGGTTTCATCTTCATTTTTCATTAAAAAAAAGAAAAAAAGACGGAACCCTGAAAATTCTCTATGTTCATCAAATAGCATCTTCTAAAATGCCAATCAAACATCTAATGACGAGACGTTCTGTCTTATGGTCGTTTAACTTTAGGTAGTTGGTCGACATCCAGAGCCTTGTATCTTCTAAGACCTATCCCCAGTGAACTCCATATTGAAGGTGATGTCTTCCTGATCTCGAACCATTAATTATCACAGACTGGTACCGGCCATTCAAGTATGAATGAAACCATGCAGAGCACTACGTTTCATTCCGAATCAAGTTTCCAAGAGGGACAAAAGCATGATATGGTCTATAGTGTCAAAGGCCGCTGACAGGTCTAGCAATCTACAGCACTAAAGGGGTTATTTTGCTTTCAAAGTACATGTGACACGGTACTTTGGCCGCACTTATATGCCAATTGTTTCAACTAAGTTGTTGATATTTATATTTGCCGCCATATAACTGGGATATTGCTGAGTGCAAACAAACCAAAATCATATGTTCTTGAAGACGAGCTGACACAACACGTTCTAAGAGCTAAAGAGAGATGGAAGGTTAGACACCGCGGGTGTTTTTGAACATATCTGGGTCAAGCTAGCATTCTTTAGCAACGGAGTGACTAGTGCTCCCATGGGAGATTCTGGAACTTAACCTCATGACATCGATTGATTGACAATCTTCGTATACACTGGTGTAACCTAATCAGCACACTGTTTCAGAAGCCACGTGGGAAAGAGCACGATTTAGTTGGACATTTCTTCAAAATCTTGGCAATTTCTGTGTCAGTGTCTGGGGTGAATTATGATAAATGATCTTCGGTCGTGATCTTCAATGTCTCACTGGTAGTTCATGTACACGTATTATTCTAAATCAATATTTATCACATCTTGTGCCTGTCGGATCTTGGGTATCTTTGAAGTAAAGAAGGCATAAAACGTTTCAGCAAGCGCTCTGGTGCCTACCAAAATACATTCTGTATCATTCTTTATCACATCTAGTGCCCGTTGGATCTTGAGTATCTTTGCAGTAAAGAAGGAACAAAAAAAGGCTTAGTAAGCCTTCTGGTCCCTAGCAAAATATATTCTTTTTCTCATTCTTTATCACATCTAGTGCCCGTTGGACCTTGAGTATTTTTTAAGTTAAGAAGGGACAAAAAGTTCTCAGCAAGTGTGTATCATGGTGTGAGCGAGGACAGGGAGCTCTTTGTCGTAAACAGCAAGGTGCTTCCCATATACTAAACACTTCCTTCTGGTTTGTAATGTTTACAAACCACATCGTACAGCTGTAATACTGCTGAAACAAATACCTACTCATGATACAGACAGAATTGTAAATCGACTCTGCTTTTAGCAGATGTTTATTATAGATGCAGTAAGGGTTGTTCTGAGAAAAATATATGTCACATAACTGAGATAATAAAATGTAATTGGAACTAACATCATATAGCAGTAAAATAGAGAAGAGGAAACTACAGGTTGGGTGTTAGTTATCATACTTTCATTTAGAACATTTGCATCTGGAGTCTAACCAGTTCAGAAGAAACAATATGCATGATTTGGCTTTTCGAACATTTCTTGTGGCCTGATGTATTTGGCCAGCTCCAGATCCTGTGTCAACAATATTGTAAACTTCCCATGATATGCCATGTACAGGAGCTGCATGAAGACAGCGCCGGCTGTTGACGGAAGGCTCGGTAGGGTAGTAAAGGCTCGCTTTTTCTTCTAAAATTTAAAAAAAGAAGTTTTGTAGCGCTGTCCTCTTACTGGCGTGAGAGGGGACATTTGAGACATATAAGCGAATGGAAACTGTGTTGACATCAATCACATCTGTATAATTATTGAGGAATGAGCGTTTAAAAACAGCGGGTTGTTTTGCAGCCTTTTTTGCGCGAACTGTAAATGACATTGTGATTGTTGGTCAGTATGAGGTTAATAGCTACACCAGATAAGAAAAATCTATTGTGATACTGCCAAATGTAAAGACATTTTAGGAGATTTGCTTTTCTTCCCTTTATATACACGGATAGTGCCTTGAACCATCTGTGGGTTAGCCTTCCTTTGGTTGTCCTAAAACACAATAGGCTACCGATATATATATTGTCACGCTTTAGACTAAATGACCTCTGTACTCAACAATACAGAATATTGCTTCAACCAGAGACCATAAAATAAATTATCATATGGTCACTGCTTCAAGTGACCAATCAGCTTTGACCCTCCACATATGCAAGTATAACGTACAAATATCACACGGATCCATTCATCTTTTCTGAGACCATGCTGTGGTCCTTCATCCTACATCTATTATGTACGTGCGTCTCTATAATCTCAATGTCTTAATTCTTTACCATACACCTTACGGGGCGGAAAGATAAATGAACATGTCACATTGCTGCTATTCAAGCCTATATAATTGTCGTTCGACAAGAATGGATTCACTGATGCGGCGTAATATTCACACCCGGAATCAGGTTTAATGTCTTTTCCAGGCAGTAAACAGTGTTGGACATTTCAGGGGAGGTAACTCTCACCCCTTCAAGGAAATAGGCGACGTTATTGGAGTTTCGGTGAAGTTGCTTTATTTTATAGTCGCTTCCTCATCAACCCCTGCATTATGTCTAAGATCTACTTTGTGAACATCAATGTGATTCCTCACAAGGAAGGGATGGATATGGTGCTATTTGTGTCAAAACTTGCAGGATTGGTGCAAAATTACTCCAACCACACGAAGATACTTCACAAGTTCAAAGTAGGCCTAGCCTTGTGTATTTATACTTCGTAGTAGTTGTTTATTATATGTTCTAGCACTGTTCTCAGAGTTCGCTGTGATTAAATTCACGTGTGTTAGTTGGAGATGAATGTCCAAACATTATAGTAAGAATAATGGATTGGCAACTCTATATATTTAACCACAGTTAAGAAACATGTAGATAAAAGATTTTGACATGTAGAAATATTGTGACAAACAAGATGGTAAATCTAGATTCATGTGTTAACGTCGCAGCAAGATTGTGCGTTACTTTGATGTTTTCAGAAAGGCCATATAATAAATTTAATTTAAATTTAAAGCAGAAAGGATATATATTCAAATGCAGTGTTTTTTGTGTCCCAAAGTAGATTTGTTAGAGCAGAGGATCGTACCCTTAATATATTTTAGGCCATGTACAAAACAATTCTAAGATTTCTTGTTTCTTGATTTTATGTATTAACTCTGAAACGTCATATAAAGAACAAAATGAAGTTGTTATCCACAAAAACATGTCATGATTCATGTTTGTCCAACTTCAAAATGCCTTTCAAGAACTTCAAGAAATCTCAATAAAAGACAAGCAGAAGTATAATTATTCAAATTCAAATTTCTTTTGGGTACGAATTCACTACTCTTGTGTTATGTGTATTTATATAAATTATTATTTTATAATTTTTGCTTTTATTTATTTGTCGTTTGTATTTACCTTATTACCTTATTTACCTTATTATTTTTACACAGGTAACTGGAGAGCCCCAGATAGTAGCTAGTGAGTTTATATATATTACTCACAATATCACATAGTTATTCCATTTATTGATTATTTATAATATTTCTCATATATGTACTTTCTACCTTTTAACAGAAATGTGATAAGTTATGGATATTTTAGTAACAACCACTCTAGCAGCATTTGATACTGTCTGTGTACAATAGATCATACCGAACATTCCTCAGATATTCTCCATGAATATCTGGAAGAGATAGTAGTCCTTCATCAGTATCCTAGCCCCTCCATGTAGCTCAGTGGTTGAAGCGTTCTCCCCCTTCACGCTGAAGACCCGGGTTCGATTCCCCACATTGGTACAATGGTTGAAGTCCATTTCTGGTGTCCCCCCGCCATGATATTGCTGGAATATTGCTAAAACTTGCATGAAACCCAACTCACTCACTAACCCCTTCATTTCTAAACAAGATCATAGCAACCAAGATATGTTCACTCTAACACACAACCTTACAAGCATGTAATTTCTAAAGTAATTTTACCTCAATCAATGTGGATCAGTAGAGTCTTTATAGCATATTAAAAGCACTCCTTGGGAGATTTGGTTAATACTGTCAACATTTCAAACCCAAGCTACACTTAACACTTGGGACTAGCAGGAGACACAGGCTCTATTAGTGATCATGATGAGCATTTTCTGAGATAGTCATAACTAGTTTCTGAGTAACAGATTTATGGTAAATTCCACAGCTTTCTGAAAAGGTGGGGAATGTCTAAAATAAACATATAATTGTTTGATGAAAATAAGTAATTCATTTGCAAAACAAATGGAATGTCATAGTCAGTAACTGTATTGTCTGATATTATCACGCTTACATACAGGCCGCTGTCATACAGGCAAGACAAATCAACATCAGGCAAACAAACAATATCTTGAAGACTCTGTGTATTGACACAGAATGAAGTGACTTGTGTATTTTATGGCTTACCGTGATGCTGGCAACAGCTTACTTTGTCCAGCTTTATTTGTCACACTAAAATTAGTGAGCTGAATGAATGAAATAAGGGCAGACTTTATATTGTATCAACTTAAAACATCATATTTTTGAGATTCTTTCAGTGATTCTTCAATGTTATTAGATTTTGCTGCCATGTGTTGTGAACAAACAAGTTTATTTAAATAGCTCTTTTATAAATCCACACAGTAATATTTAAGTGTTGTTTGAAACCATAAACCAATTCTATTAAAGACTCATAGAAGATGGATGTTAGTCATATGCAGACAGTTGTACCCGTGAGATAGAGAATGATAGAATGAACAAAATTTATAACAAATACATCATGTATATTATACTAAGATTTGAACAGAAGCATAAAAAAGATTTTCAAGAAATTGTGATCAGTATACATATGTTTGAATATAAATTTCAATTATTGCTGGTAACTATTGAGCATTCTGTGTCTGTTCCATCACCTTGACCTCTACTCATCATGGTGTTGTTTCAGTCATTGAGGTTGCTGATGTTGTTGGACTAGAAAGGACAATTGCAGGACTGTATCGCCTTGGCAACGTGTGTGTGACGTGCAGCCCCATCTACTGCTATGAGGACTTTGCCAACTTCCTGGGAGCAGGTAACGTCACACTCCCGGGCCCATTGCCAGACAGTGACCTCTACTGGCTTGAGTTTGACGTGGAATATACAGGTGAGAATCTGCACTGTAACTACTGTTACCGAAACATAGGATGGTCGTGATGCGAAATGGTGATTACAGTTGTGTTTGATATGTGTACCGTTTCCTGTATAGTGCCAACCCACTGAGATGACATGCCACAGTTTTGACCATGGATACCTCCTCAGACACAGTTAACTTACTCCAGACTGACCAGTCCTTGCTTCTTAATCATCTTATGCTTCAGGGTTCGATTGGGTTGCCTAGTGGTTAAAGCGTCTGCTCGTCACGCTCAAGACCCCGTTTGATTCCCCACATGAGTACAATGTATGAAGCCCATTTCTGGTGTACCCCTGTCGTGATATTGCAGGAATATTCTTAAAAGCGGCATAAAACCATACTCACACACTCATTAGTACTACAGTAAAACAAGTACAATCTTTTAACATCTTTTGGGGTGGTGGTGGGGTAGCCTATTGGTTAAATCGTTCGTTCGTCATGCCGAAGACCCGGGTTCGATTCCCCATTTCTGGTGTCCCCCAATATTGCTGGAATATTGTAAAAACGGCATAAAACCATACTCACTCACTCACTAGCATGTTTTGGCATAACATGGCTGGGGCTTGAATCACTGATTTTCCCAGCAGATGCTGTATGCACTTGACAACAAATCAAAATTATATTGGGTTCACATGAAAGCTTATCATACTGTATGTCACATACCATACTGTATATACTGAACTTAAAACTTTACAGCATTGTAACATATGATACCCTATATGCAGTTTGTATTAAAGACACTTAAAACTTTTGTTTAGTTTAAAACGTTGTACTGTGTTATTCAATCTCATTACAATCAGATCATTTGCTTCCATATTCTATAACTCTGTGCAAGACTTTGACAGCCCAGTCTAATGGAGGGATCCATGTATTCTCAAGCCATCTAAAATGATTTGGATTTACTTAGGAGATAAACCTACTGTGTGGGAAAATCAGAGGTATATAACGAAATTATAATAGCTCTAAATTTCATTTAAAACCGAACGCGTAGCGTGAGGTTTTAAATGAACAATTTAGAGCTATTATAATTTCAAGCTATATACCTCTGATTTTCCAACACAGTAGGTTTATCTCCATTCTACCATGACAATTTTATGAACAATTTCAGGTGGAGCTCTTTCTTTGGTTACGAAGTCAATACACGGAAGCGGCCTCGCATTCCAATCTCAAGTGGTATCGCCCGACACGGGTGTTTGGTGGCAAACCGCCAATGACTAACAAACTCCAGATTCAGTAATAACAAATCACGCTTTGTTTTTCAATGCATCAATCACCAATCATTAACTGATAAGTTGGAAAACATATATCAAATAAGTTTCAAAAGCTTGGTTCACATTTGAAAATTCCACCGTAGACCCTTTCCCCACCAGAATAGTGGCAGCAACCTCATGGCCTTGACCTTTTCTCAAGTCATTGTTTACATTTGGAAAGATGCTACAGGAGAGCCACTGACAGTTTGCGCAAGGTTAACCTGATTGTATGACTGAGATAGTCTTTGATATCTAATTACTGGTACTGGTACAAAATTTAAGAGTAGGGCTTTTGCTGTAACGAGAAGTCCGTGGTTGTAAAATCAATTTAGATACTGTTGAATTTTGCTTCCGTCAATCCTGACGATTTCACGCTCCTCCACGTCTGCGTCGCGACAGCTGTGGTGACTCTTACACACTCATGTGTGTACTTTGTGCTCAAATTCGATTCTAATGGATATTATTTTCTACATTTTGGAAAGTGTTTTTGTGACCTAGTGGCTTCAAAGTGTAGTGAATTCAAATTGAATCGGATTGGCTGGCATGTTCGCGAAGTCTGTTGACAAAGAGCCAGATTTGTGGTGATATTTCGAAAAGGATGGATCAGGACACGAGGGTGTACCTCTGGGATAAACACGGTAAGGTAATTAATTATACTTTAATAGACTACTTTAGATCAAGCAGTGTAATGGATAAGAGGGATCATGACTAAGCTAAATAACTTTTTCAACGATATTATACATTTAGAAAAAAATATGTTGGGCTAAACAGAACGGTTTGCAGATTCTGTAGATCTAATTGTGTTTTACTACCGCTAAATTTGAAACAGTACAAATTTCAAAAATATCATTTTGTTTGAATTGATAACCCAACTGTTTATTTATGTGGACGGAAGGCATTAGAATCTAAAATTTCTTCGGCTCGATGTTAATGCATCCTCCGCTACCGGATCAAGATCAGTGGCTATATCGCTCGATCTTAAAGCTGATAATAAATTTAACACGGAAATTTTGTAGCAGTCAATTGCTGGATCTATTCTGACATAACATAGAATCAACGTGAAACATATTTGTTTTGCAGAATTTTTATTCGAAAGCAGACGATGTTTTGATCTTGTTCGACTGAATATTTGTTTCCATGCTTTCAAGTACTTTTGTATGTATAAACACCTATTGCTGTGATTTACGCAAGTAGTGAGTCGTGCCCGTCATCGCTAAATCCATCTTTAAAGACATATGTGTAATTTCCGACAGTAAAATCGCCGTAATTTATCGATGCATCGGTAGGTTGTTCGGTGTCCGCCATGTTAGTGGGCAGACAAAAATAGTGCATTACCGTAAACCATGTATGATTGCGCACGGAAAACAGAGACCTGTATAACGTAATTATATACTTCTGAATGACTTTAATTAACCAATCACAATCCAGTGTTTACTGAAGTCATGGTAGAATTGTTTATGACCACTGCTCAGAAAGATATATTTTAAGAAAACAAGATCCACACAGAACACTTACATACTCTATCTTGTACACTTTGACCACAGTGTGTATGAAGTGTCCACATTATATATTTATACAGCCTTTACTGGGTTCGAAATACCCCATATACTAGCGTGCCATGGCACAGTAAATAATGAAATAGCACAGATTATAAATATTCTCAGTGCCCTTATTGCACGCCTACTTTTTTCGACATGCAACTCACCCTAAGTTATTTAATCCCCAAACAAAACACTTATGCAACTGACAGACAAGCAAAAACATTTATTGACTTTATCGCCCAGGAAATCACTGGAATTATGATGGATGATGTAATGAAATCTGGTTGTTTTTCCATTTAGAGGGATGGGAGTACTGATAGTTCAGTTATTGAAGAGGAAATTGTGTATGTTAGATAAATTGAACATGTGAGCCTGTCATAAAATTCTAAGCTATTAAAGGTGTTGGCAAAGCAGATGAAGCTTAAGAAAACCATCTTAAACAGAAGACATATCAGTGATAACAGAAAACAGGTTACATTTGTTGTTTCCTAATAATAATAATAATAATAATAATATCGGAGGCCTATTAAACAAACAAATGAATCTTTTCCCAAAAATGAAATTAATTTATTAAATGATATTATTTCTATGAAACTTTCATCGGACTGTTCATTACATGAAGTTAATTGTTGTGTCTATGCTGCCGCTCGAACCTTGGAGGAACTTCACACAGTTTCCAAAGAAAACACATCCAATACTAAGAAGACTACACCAAAGAAAAACCGGTTTCAAGTAAAACTAACGGAAACTAGAAAATACATTTCCTGGATAGAGCTGTGCCTGAAGTTAAGATCATCAGGCAGTCCAATGTCAAAAAGACAAAAGGCAATTTGGAGAAAATGAAAACTGAAATATAAAACAACGAAAGAAAAGATACTTCTCCAAATTGTCGATTCCCTTAAGGCAAAAATAAAGGTTTGGACTGAAAGAAAGAAAAAATGGGAAAAGAAAAATAAATTCATCAAACAAAATAAACTGTTTAGAAACAATGAAAAGCACTTCTACAGGCAACTGAAAACAAAAGGTGATGGTGAACATGACAAACGGCCTCCCATGGATGCCAATGAAAGGTTCTGGAAACAGTTGTGGTCTGTACCCGGCAACTGTAACCTTGAGGCACCATGGGTCCGTGATTATGACCATGCAATGCATGAGAAGGTAACTAGGTCGTTTGTCTGTTACATCTCACCAGATGGCCTGAAAAGTGTTATAAAAAAGTCCAAATCAAATACAGCTCCAGGGCCTGATGGCATTCAAAATCGGTATTGGAAACTGTTCCCCTGTGTCCAAACACCATTACTACACTGTTTCAATTCTCTTGTGGACACAGGTGATGTTCCTCCATGGTTCTGCAAAGGTCGCACAATACTTCTCCCCAAGAAAGGAGACTTGACTGATCCCAAAAACTTCCGCCCTATCACATGTTTGAATACACAATACAAAATATTCACAGGGTGTTTGACAAACCTCAGTGTCATCTTACTGCTCTTCCAATGATATAATATACAGAGAGCAGAAGGGAGCAAGAAAGGGATGTTGGGGGTGCAAGGATCAACTTCTTGTACAGAAAATGATTTTGGAAGAGGCTAAAACTTATCACTGCAACCTCTCCATGTGCTGGATTGACTACAAAAAAGCATATGACTCTGTCCCTCACGAATGGATTCTGAAGTCTCTTCATTGTATTGACCTCCCTCAGCGACTACTTGATTTACTCAAGTCTTTAATGAGTTGCTGGTCGACTCAACTTGAGATGTACTCACAAGGGCAGGTGCAGACTTCGGAATCTATTCCAATCAGAAGGGGAATATTTCAGGGGGATTCCTTTAGTCCTTTGCTTTTTTGTCTGTCTTTAAATCCTTTGAGCTTTCTGCTCAATAAAGAGGAGGGTTACCATCCCTGACCTCCTCAGCACAGATCCCCAACACCTCTTACTCATCTCCTTTACATGGATGACATCGAGCTCCTTGCCAAAGGAGATACCAATTTGAAAGAGCAGGTTCTCCTTGTCGAGTCCTTTTCGAATGATATTGGCATGACATTTGGACTCAGCAAATGTAATACTCTTCATTTGAAATGTGGCAAGGTAACTAATGATGGATCGGTCAAGTTACAAGGGGGAGGAGTTATTGAGCATCTTGTGGAAGATCAGGCCTACACCTATCTTGGAATGCAAGTTCGAGATAAGCTCCAGAATGCCCAGATTCAAGACAAACTTCGGGCCGAAAGTACAAATCTCGTTTTTAAAGAAAATCTGGAGCTCAGAGCTAAATGCTCGAAACAAGGTCAAAGCCACCAATACTTTTGCTGTGCCAGTCCTCTCCTATTCCTTTGGAGTAGTTGATTGGACGAAACAAGACATCCAGAGTCTTGACCGCCTGACCAGAAGGATCATGTCTGATAACAGAGCCCACCACCCTCGTTCCTCTCTTAACCGTATATATGCCAATCAATTCTGGAGGTCGGGGTTTGATTAATGTGGAGGCTCTTCATGACAGAATTTTATTGTGTACTTTTGCACATATTTATTTATCGGATGATCCTCTGGTGATGCATGTGAAGACTCATGATGAAAGCAAGGAATTCCACAGTTATTTTAAGCGTGCCAAGGTTGTTGGACAGAATCTGAAATTTGAGGTTGACTTTGCTGATGGCGATGTACTGCTGGATGGTACAGCGATGGGAGTAAACCAGGTGAAGTCCTTCACCAAGTCTGCCCAGAGTCGGTCTTTTGTGGAGAAGCTTTCTGAGAAGCCATTGCATCGGGTGTACATGCAGTGTGTGGAACAGAATAGCAATCCCTCCGACTCCTTCGCCTGGATGAAGTCGGCTGGTCTTAAATGTGAAACTGAGGGCTTCCTTTTTGCTGCTCAGGACCAGTCACTTCCCACTCGTAATCGCCTAAATGTGATTCTTAAAGAAAATATCAATATGAAATGTCGTCTTTGCAATGAATTCACAGAGACTGTCCAACACCTTGTCAGTGGATGCCCTTCCTTGGCACAAACAGCATATCTTAAAAGCGACATGATGGCATGGCTCGCTGCTTTTACTACCGTCTCCGACATGCCTGTGGCTTTGACTCGAGGTCCATCCATGGTACGACCCTGAACATGTCCAGGGCGTCATGGAAAATGACGCTTTCAAACTTCTGTGGAATAGGCCCATATACAGCCTCAGAAGAATTCCAGCTAACAAACCTGATCTTGTCCTTTTTGATAAAGCCAATGAATTTATATATATCATTGAATTTTCTGTCCCTTTTGACAGGAATGTGATTGACAAGATCAAGGAAAAGCATGATAAATATGCGGACCTCGCCTTTGAAATGTCTCGCTTGCATCCCAAGTACACTGTCGTCAGGCTCCCCATTGTTCTCGGTGCCCTTGGTTTGGTACCTCCTGATCTCTTGGCGCAGATCAGGAGAGTGCCCGGGTTCTCCACCGGGAGTACAGCCCTTCTGACACTCTGGGTAATGCAGAAGGCTGCAGTGTTGGGGAGCCTTCATATTCTCCGGAAAGTTCTTGGTGGGTTCGACTAGGCAGCGTTTCCTGGGAGAAGTCCCATTCGCTGTCTGGGCTGCGTGTAGAGGGGGCAAGGGCCCTGAGCTGATGATGAGCCTTACCAGCCTGACTGTGCCAGGATCACCCGAACCCTCTCTGCTGCATATTATCTTTAATCTGTAAAAAATAATAATAAGTCTCATCACTCATGCAGCCTGCATGGAGGCGTCATCAGATATGCATGCACAGAGGTATCATATCTGAGTGGTAGATCACAAAAACTGTATAGCTGATGAAGAGGAAACATGTTCAAGACTAATGGTCATGTTCCAGGTAAAACCCTGGATCAGTTTATGGAGATGTGGAGGCAGGAAGCCGAAACAGCTATGGGCCACAGAGCTGATGGCATGTGTATCGCTCTCTACAAGGTGGTGTTTGAGAGGAAGGTAGGTATGCTTGGAAGTAGACATGGAACTGATTGTAAGGGATGTGGGTATACTTGGATGTAGACTTGGAACTGATTGTGAAGGATGTAGGTATGCTTGGAAGTAGACATGGAACTGATTGTGAGGGATGTAGGTATGCTTGGATGTAGACATGGAACTGATTGTGAAGGATGTAGGTATGCTTGGAAGTAGACATGGAACTGATTGTGAGGGATGTAGGTATGCTTGGATGTAGACATGGATCTGATTGTGAAGGGATGTAGGTATGCTTGGATGTAGACATGGAACTGATTGTGAGGGATGTGGGTATGGTTGGATGTAGACATGGAACTGATTGTGAGGGATATGGGTATGGTTGGATGTAGACATGGAACTGATTGTGAGGGATGTGGGTATGCTTGGATGTAGACATGGAACTGATTGTGAGGGATGTGGGTATGCTTGGATGTAGACATGGAACTGATTGTGAAGGATGTAGGTATGCTTGGATAGTGGAACTGATTGTGAGAAAGGATGTAGGTATGCTTGGATGTAGACATGGAACTGATTGTGAAGGATGTAGGTATGCTTGATGTAGACATGAAGGATGTAGGTATGCTTGGATGTAGAACAGGATTGGAACTGATTGTAGACATGGAACTGATTGTGAAGGAAGGTATGCTTGGTATGCTTGGATGTAGACATGGAACTGATTTGAAGGATGTAGGTATGCTTGGATGTAGACATGGAACTGATTGTGATGTAGGGATGTAGACATGGTATGCTTGGATGTAGACATGGAACTGATTGTGAAGGATGTAGGTATGCTTGGATGTAGACATGGAACTGATTGTGAAGGATGTAGGTATGCTTGGATGTAGATGGAACTGATGGAACTGATTGTGAAGGATGTGAAGGATGTAGGTATGCTTGGATGTAGACATGGAACTGATTGTGAAGGATGTAGGTATGCTTGGATGTAGACATGGAACTGATTGTGAAGGATGTGGGTATGCTTGGATGTAGACATGGAACTGATTGTGAAGGATGTAGGTATGCTTGGATGTAGACATGGAACTGATTGTGAAGGATGTAGGTATGCTTGGATGTAGACATGGAACTGATTGTGAAGGATGTAGGTATGCTTGGATGTAGACATGGAACTGATTGTGAGGGATGTAGGTATGCTTGGATGTAGACATGGAACTGATTGTGAAGGATGTAGGTATGCTTGGATGTAGACATGGAACTGATTGTGAAGGATGTAGGTATGCTTGGATGTAGACATGGAACTGATTGTGAAGGATGTAGGTATGCTTGGATGTAGACATGGAACTGATTGTGAGAAGGATGTAGGTATGCTTGGATGTAGACATGGAACTGATTGTGAAGGATGTAGGTATGCTTGGATGTAGACATGGAACTGATTGTGAGAAGGATGTATGGTATGCTTGGATGTAGACATGGAACTGATTGTGAAGGATGTAGGTATGCTTGGATGTAGACATGGAACTGATTGTGAAGGATGTAGGTATGCTTGGATGTAGACATGGAACTGATTGTGAAGGATGTGTGGGTATGCTTGGATGTAGACATGGAACTGATTGTGAGGGATGTAGGTATGCTTGGATGTAGACATGGATCTGATTGTGAAGGGATGTAGGTATGCTTGGATGTAGACATGGAACTGATTGTGAGGGATGTGGGTATGCTTGGATGTAGACATGGAACTGATTGTGAAGGATGTGGGTATGCTTGGATGTAGACATGGAACTGATTGTGAAGGATGTGGGTATGCTTGGATGTAGACATGGAACTGATTGTGAAGGATGTGGGTATGCTTGGATGTAGACATGGAACTGATTGTGAAGGATGTGGGTATGCTTGGATGTAGACATGGAACTGATTGTGAAGGATGTAGGTATGGTTGGATGTAGACATGTAACTGATTGTGAGGGATGTGGGTATGCTTGGATGTAGACATGGAACTGATTGTGAAGGATGTAGGTATGCTTGGATGTAGACTTAGAACTGATTGTGAGGGATGTGGGTATGCTTGGATGTAGACATGGAACTGATTGTGAAGGATGTAGGTATGCTTGGATGTAGACTTAGAACTGATTGTGAGGGATGTAGGTATGCTTGGATGTTGGTTTGGTTGCTTGGAGTGGCACTCTGATGAAACTGATGAAGAGGGTGACAGCATTCAAGTCTATTGTTTTGGTTTGATTTATCAAGGTCAGCATTCAGATTTCAAAATTCACCTTGAAGGTGATTCACTCATAACATGCCATTAAAATGTTGGAAATATTGATAAAGACCAGTGACTGGGGGACATCTCATGTAGAAGATCCCCTGGAACATGCAATCTATTCAATTCACATTTATTATTAAATTTTGACAAAACTTAAACTTGAAAGATATTTATTGCAGGTGCATGTGTTCTTGTGTGCCCCCAATGTCAACAAGCTGGATGAGATGTCCTTCAGCTTGCCTATCATGGTGGGCAACGGGGAAAATGTCCATGTTAAGTGCAAGGCCATCCAGATGCTGGACATCTTCAGACAGAAAGTTGTGGCCTAGTGGTGCTCCTTGCAGAGATGCAACGTGTAACCATATAGATAACAGTATATTAGTAGAAGACAATGGAATTTACTCAGAAATTAAGTCAACTCTTGAAATGAAAGCAAGCATGAGGTTAACAGACAATGAGGTGTGTTGTGTATGATTGCTCTCAGCCTATGGCATGCGTCAACTTGTGTCCTCTTCTTGACCATACTTGATGAGGAACTAGGTGTTTTGCAAAGTCAAGATTGTCCTTTTATATTTTGTATGTACAATATGTGTCATCATTATTCATGCAAGTTGTGAAAATTCATTAAGCTTGTAACCCACTTGTCACATAATCATGTACATGTATGTAATGTTCTTCACAATTTGTGTGTACAGTTTCTGTGATCATTGTGTGAGTTGTGAGAAAAGTATCTTTGTATTCTTGTTGACTATATTAAGTAGGTCACATATACTGAGGGAAACAAATAAAGGAATACAGGAGAATTCAAGCACTCCTTTAATATTTTTCAGTTATTATCACCTGCTTTGAATAGCGCTGTGAGAGGAAATCTGGGAATAACTTCCATGAAGTGGTGTTCCCTTATTTGTTTCCCTCAGTATATATACCTGCAGGCTAGGGATAGTAGCCAGTTTGTGTTGTTTGTTGCATGGAGCTGTAGCGGGTCTTGAATTTTAATATCCCTGTATGTAGAATGTATATGTACCCTGAAATATACACAGATTTCAACTTTTTGTCAAATATCACCAACATGATTTTCTTCAACATTTACAATCCACACTGATTTGTGATTAGAAATGTCTCCTGTACAGAGAGTACCAGATCAGATCTGATTGTTATCAGATGAGTGAGAAACAAATGTGTTTCTATATATTGATAATGTGTGTGATATATTTCATGAAAATATACATCTTTGCAATAAAACAATATCCCCAGAGATATTCATGATCTCTAGCGGTTTTATTTGAGTATGTTGTGACTGATTTATCCAACTTCTGGCACCTCTGTTCCTGGAGATAAGAATCAGAATACCAGACTAGCCTCATCTTGGCTATTGAGCCCATGTTATATCTGTAAATGGAGTTAATCTAATCAGTAGTGCTTGGTCAGGGAGCAAATCGTGGGTGACACTGTACATCATTACCATATTGTCTCTTGCACACTAGAGTATAATTGATATGCCCTATTCATGTACAGGGAAATATACTGGGGGAAAAAATAAGGGATCACATAAAAGCACAAGTGTTCCTTTATTTGTTTCGAGGTTTCTTCACAAGCTATGCGATACAACGCTTGTGAAGAAACCTTGGAAAAAATAAAGGAACACTTGTGCTTTAATGTGATCCCTTATTTTTTCCCTCAGTATATTACCATACTATTTTATATATGATAAGTAGTCAATAATATATCATATCACTCCAAGTAAACAAGGTCAACAAACTGTGTCATCAAGGTTCCGCCTAAAATGTGTTATTTGTTTCTTTTTTAATTTTTACATTCATTTCGCCCAAATTAATGTACATTTATACAGTATTGAATGAGATTTCAAACAAATATATTGAAGTAGACAAAAATCATCAACCCAAAGTTACATTGAAATCTTTTTATAACCAGGTAGTGTAATAAAAGGGAATAACTTGCATACATTTTTACAGATATTGATGACCTGCTATGTTTTGCTATGAGCTTGCATAAATTGATTTACTTTGGAAATAATGAAACAAAATTCTACATCTATATGTTAATTTTATTTGTGTGTGTGTGTGTGTGTGTGTAAAAAGTGAGCATTATAGACAGGAATGTATAGCAGCATTAGTATTTTTAAATTTTTCACCTAGTCTGAACCTGTCTAGTTTTGTGAATGAGTTACTCTGTATTTCTACCTCAAGAAACATGAATATTTAGTCTGTAAAGTACTGTACACAGGGAACTCTTGTTATACATATTCCATAATGCAACAGCCAGACTGGTGGATCCAGGATGTTTAAACTGGTTGGGAAGTAGGCACCATGGGTTTTGGGTCGGGGGATACTGTCACAGTCGGTATCAGGATATGCCACTTGTCAATATACACATGTATGAGCTCCATGGCATCTACACGCAGAAAAGGCGATAGTGGCATTCTGGTGCTTTTCCGTTAAAATAGAAATAGTAAAGGAACGAAACCCAATCATATATATGAGCAAGCAGATCACTTCCTTGGGTTCTACCCAGGTAACAATTTCACGTTGTCACAACGCTTTCGTTGTTACAACGTTATTCTGTGGATTCCCATTTACGTTGTCACTATGTTGTGGCCTGACGTTGTGATACCCCATTTTACGTCGCCACAAGGTAAAGTTATTTTACGTCAACGTATTTTACGTTGTCTTAACGTTCTATTAACATTAATAGTTTTCCCAGTAGTGAACAGTACATTAGAAACAAGGCAGAAATTCACTTCAATGTTTATTCGTCAATTTGTATGTTGTTTTGGTCACATGTTTTCTGAAGCTGTTGCTGAATAGTGAAGAAAGAATCTCAAAGTTTTACAGAAAGTCTAAGAAACGTTGTTACAATGTTGTGAGGAGCCCAAAGCATATAACGTTTCCTCAACGTAAATTTGCAACGTTGTTATTACGTTGTGACATAACGTTATAAGATGAGGTAATACTAACTACCAATCTACAACCTTCCCACAACGTTGCGAAAACGTTGTCTGTTTATGGCTGGGTAATCCCCAAATCGTCCTGATTATATATGCACTTACTTATCAAGTAGTTTCATGCAGTAAACCCATGATTGTACAGGTGAAAAGGAAACATGATGATGATGATGATAGTTGATGTTGGAGGAGTTGTTTCAGTTTTATCCTGACTCATAGACATTAGTTAACGCACTCCTATAACACAGGCTACACTTAGTTACTTGGAAATGGGCTTCTAAAAACCCATTGACCTGTGACTGAAGTAAACCATTTGATAGTATGTTGTATAGATAATGGATACTCAAAGAGAAGACTTCAAGTATAAAACCACATATCCCAGTTTCTATTGTATTATGTAGTAGCTATAAGGCTAGTATTACCACAGATCTAAAAGTGGTATTGCCTATAAAACGTATTACACATGGATACGTTGGTCTGTTGTCAGGTGAGTAGTTTCTAGGGCACTTCACGTGATCGATTTTCATATTGTATCCCACAATGACTGCATATTTCAGAATATAGATATAACCACACTTGCAAAACAATAATTCTCCAGACCGCTGATGGCACTATTATTGTTGTTAGGCATAGTTCATGTATTCGAGAATCATACAAGCAAACCCCACGTTTAAAGCGGTCTCACGAGAAACCGATGCTAAACCTAAATCTCCATGAATGATCATGTCTTCTTCACATCGATAATCTGCGTTGTAGCGGATCCTGGGGCGATTAAGGGACGCACGTGTGCCTCCCTTAGAAAAAGAAAAACCTTGCTAGGCGAGTGATAATACTAAATACCCAGGTATCATTCAAAACATGCTTTCATTGGAAACACACCGTATAAGAAATGCAGCAGATCTTGAGTACGATACCAGATTCTCTTAGATCGATGCTCATGCTGTTGATCCCTGAATTGTCTGGTTCAGACTCGATTATTCACAGACCGCTGACCAATATACTCAAAGGCAAAAGTTAATGTGGTCAACACATTTGTTTATATTAATGAGACAATTTTTATAAGGCATTTTAATATTCTTTATAATACATTTAATCCTTAACCCATACAGGGCCCTGTCGGGAGGTTTTGTTTTACATGAGTTTTTCGTGCTTTCAAGAAGTCCGTGGAAAAAAAGGCCCTTTAAAAAGTGCGCCTCTAAACTTCGAATCATTGTTTAGACGTCGACGGTCCGAAAAACACAAATTTGAAAGCATCTGCTTGCCATTCTCTATGCCACGGCTACTTGAAAATGAATGATGGCAAGCCATTGGAATGCTTGAAACCGGAACACCCCAGCACAACGTCGCATAGAAGTTTAACGTGCACAGGAACACAACATGCATGCCGCTTGTGGAGACGTTATCAACAAAACGCCTTCATTGCAGACCGTCCCCGAAGTGGCCGTCCACCTGTAACCACGCCATGCAACGTTCTTTGGATTCGAGCCACCAATCTGCGCCAAAGATTCCAACCAGTCACACTGACTGACGTTGACCAAATCCTCCAATCATGCTTCAGGAACTCCGCCAGGTGCTTCCACAGATATGGAATGCCATTCCACAATACTTCATGCGACATTATGATTGGCTGTATGAAGCGCGGGTGTCAAACATGTATCAATGCTGATGGTGGACATACACGTTATTGACTGCGTGAAGTTCATTTTGACCGTTCTCTGACTGTGACCTCATTAGCATGTGTCCGCCAGAAAGGTTTACAATGTGCCATTTGCTATCCTATAGTGGAATGATTTTCTTGCAATATTAAAAAGTCTCATCATATAAAAATATCAGTTGTTAATTCACACATCTAACTCAAGTCAATCACAATCACCTTTGCCTTTGAGTATAGCTGGAATATTGCTGAGTGCGAGGGTAAACAACAAACAAATAATAACTAATATTTGTACTTTAGACGTCGCGGACACTGATAAAGTTGAGAGTACGGGTATTATATATGTATAATACCTAGATCTAAAGTTTAACCTGCGTTCATAACATAAAGGTGCACAATTAATTACCAAACATCTCACAAAGGGGCTTATAAACAGTGTTGTATGTGTCTCATCAAGACACTTCTTTACTACCTCTAAAGATCCGGGTTAGAATTGATCTTCAGTAACCCATGCTTGTCGTAAGAGGCGACTAACAGGATCGGGTGGTCAGGCTCGCTGACTTGGCTGACACATGTCATCGTATCCCAGTTGCGTAGATCAGCTCACGCTGATGATCTCCAGATGGATTGTCTGGTCCAGACTCTTTTATTTACAGACCGCCGCCATATATAATTGGAATATTGCTCAGTGCGGCGTAAATTACTCACTCACTCTAACGTCCCAGATAGCTTTCAGACGTTGGCCCAATGGTGGAAATGGTTTTGCCAACATTACCAACGTTGGGCCAACGTCCGAATGCTATCTGGGGTATTGATAAGTCCCGAACGTTCTGTTGAAAGAATGACATGGAATATACAGTATACATGAGGAAACCTTAGATGGGGATGCCACCCTTTCCCCAACCCCCTGCTTCTGAAACCCGAATATCGTCTAATTCTTCACTCTCATTGCTTACATCTGATTCCCAAATGCTACTTCACGCAAATCTCAATTAAAGGTTGAAAACTGAAATTCGATAACTGTTCAAGGTATATTACGTGCTTCATTATCGGTTATTTTAAATTTGCGTACTTTAATTTGCGTCCTGTGTATCACACTGCTGAGCCCCCCGCCTAGTCTGTCTCACAGTCCCTGAACCACATTATTTTCCCTACTGTCTAGCCCTCTCTGCGGTGCTAAAGCCCTAAATAAAGCAAGTCTAGATTTCCTCAGGTTCTGAATCTCTGGTCTCCTTTTCAATTTAAATGGGCTTGTTTGTTACTATCAAACTTATATATATTCAGAGACTAAGCATTAGTCTAACCCCCCAACCCTGCCAGTAGACCCCCGAATGCCACATGCCAAGCAGGTTGTGGGAACGTTATAAATCTCGGGCGCCAGGCAGATCTACGGAAGATCTGGCAGGTTTGACCCGAATGAGCGGCCGAGTTACTTGTCAGTGTAAACGTGTGGGTTTTATTTCAGAATGTTGAAGATTCCAAGGGCTCTCCGTAGACGAAAGGATGCAACCTGCCTCTTTCAAGCACTATTCTACCATGCTCGATCGGGAGTATTCGGATTTAAGCTGAGACAATCACGAGAAAACAACGATTTTTTATGTAAGTTCCTTCCGAATGCTCAACATACGATGTCCTTGACACTGGCATGTGGCACTGCTTGTTTACACCACTGTGCTCTTAGATATGTCCTTCATTCGTCACACCACGCTGGTATTACTTACATAGATTTAGACTGCTCGTTATGTGAAACTTGTTATGGACTAAATAACTTACAAACGGTTGTTACTGTATGTAAGTACATTGGGGGTCAACACCCAGTTTTGACCAATCGGGTGAATTGTATCCAACCACACCTCCACGTGAAATAATGAACTGCTATTGCGAGATTTATCTATCCTAAAAGGCAGATGATCGATAAATAGAAATATTTAATAGCATGTATCTAAAGAAAACACAAAAGTGTTCATGAAAAAATCATTGAATTCCAAATCAGCTGTTGCCTGAATACCAAAAGAATAAATGGTAGGTATGCCGAATAAATGACATCTTATGCAGATAAAATGAGAAGTGTGGACCTGAACAATCTTCCATTATTTCTAGTGTGCTATTAATAAACTATATGGCTATTGTGTTGAATACGAGTGATTGCAATTTACAAAGAAGACATTCAGCATAAAGTACCAACTCATTCAGAAAAATATTCCTTCTGCCGCGGGTTTAATGTGATATTTCCCTTATAAAATGATAAATTACAATAACTCACCATCAGCCAGTATTTATGTTGCGTGGTATATGTGTTTCAAAGTAAGGTCACACCCATCTAAACATTTAGTACACAAAATTGACCTTAACCTTTAGCCTACTGAGTTGTATACACAGCATCCTAAAAGCCCAGTCTGCTGGAAATGTTTGAGCATAAAATGCTATAAATTGGATGGATGATTTCAAATATTTAGATTTCATTAAAGATAGGTTGTCATACAGATGCACTGATCTGATAGCAGCTATGAGAGCATTAAGGATGTTTACCAGTTGGAATTAAAATATTAGACTCTCTCTGATATGTCTATGGATAATTTCTGTAAGTTCATTCACTGAACTGAATAAGAGTTGCTGTGTGTTCTACCCAGCCAAGACCTATACTACCCAACCCTACCCTATACTACCCAACCCTACCCTAGACTACCCAGACCGATACTACCCAACCCTACCCTAGACTACCCAGACCTATACTACCCAACCCTACCCTTGACTACCCAACCTCATACTACCCAACCCTACCCTAGACTACCCAGCCCTATACTACCCAACCCTACCCTAGACTACCCAGCCCTATACTACCCAACCCCATCCTACCTGACCCCACCCCTACCCTGGTACACAACCCCATACTACCCAACACGACCCTAGACAACACAACCCCATACTACCCAACCCTACCCTAGACTACCCAGCCCTATACTACCCAAACCCTATCCTACCTGATCCCATCCCTATCCTGGTACACAACCCCATACTACCAAACCCTACCCTAGACAACCCAACCTCATACTACCCAACCCTATCCTACCTGATCCCATACTACCCATCCCTACCCTGGTACTCAACCTCATACTATCCAACCCTGCCCTTGACTACCCAATCCCATACTACCTGACCCGACATTACCTGACCCCATACTTACATAACCCAACCCTAACCAGGTACACTCTGTAGGTCTGAAGGTTTGGATATTGATTGGGAATTGGTCTACCAGAGCCGGGATGACAAAAACTATCTGGGTACATTTGCACCCAATCAGGACCTACCTGACCCGAGTCCCTGAAAACAATCTCATTCATGCTCGAGCATGAGAGTATAGAGAGCAGGGCTTCCCACATACATTCAACCGTATGCAAGGTCAGCAGATAGACGGAGGGCTTGACTTGACCTCTTTCTGTCACTGCATCCAACCCAGTCTGGCCCAAAGGTGGCATTAAGTCACATGACAGGATTACATCACGAACAGAAGAAGTTGACATCTATAATGTTTTGTCTTATACTTGAATACCAACTTCTACATGCCTCTCAAGATCCTCATCTACCCCCATTGTTAAATTACCTCCTGTTGCTAAAAGACTCGCATAAATGAGGCTTAAAATGTGATATTAAAGTCATTCATGTCACTGTCTGTGGGGTCCTCATTGTTTAGGAAACAGTGTATTCAACAACAGAGATATTTTATTGACTGATCCATCCCTGCGATTATTGAGATGCATCTGAGGATAATAATACAAGACTACTTACTGATTAAGACAAAATGCCTTGCACTGTTCTTTTACTCTTAAGCCCCTGTCACACTTTTGCATATATCAAGTGCTTAATCAAGAGTTCCTCATAAAAGAAATTCAATACACAGCCCGCACGCTCAAAATTGCGAAAGTTTTCGATTACTTTGACTTAGGTGTGACGCACATCTAGTGTATAAATAACTAATTTAGCACATCCGTTGCTTATGAGGTGCGTATGATTTGCATAACCCTATTTTTGTTGCCGCAAACAGCTGCATATACAGTGGGCATGCCGAGGGTATTTCGGACACACCAAATTTCTGCCGACTGCATGCCTGACGCACTTCCGAAGAATGCCAAGCGTATTCAAAGCATATTTCCGGACACACCAAATTTATGCCGACCGCATGCCTGACGCACTTCATTCACCTGACGAAGGGGCAAGGAATAGTCCAGAAACACTGTGTATACATTTGAATAAAGAAGAAGTTGACATCCCTAATATTTTGTCTTATATAAATGGGGGTAGATGTACTTCAAGTTAGGGCAAATGGTGAATGGCAGTTTCATTTTCATTTTTATTGAAAACTAGAAGATGAAGAGTATAATGATGCAAATACTATTTAATATTTTGTTTTTACAGTCTTCATGTAAGATTACAGTCAGTTTTGATTTGCCAGTGCCACAGACTTAGCTTGACTGTTCTGTCCATCCAGACAGTTGCTGGTGCCATGGAAAGAATATCAGAATAATGAGATTTAAGTTCCATGACAAAAGCAGAAGCAGTCCCAGGCTGTTCTGTGTTAGCATAAATAAATCAGCTGGACTCATTCACAGACTGTCAAGTTGTGCTTGCACATGCAATTTACTGACACACTAATAGGACATTTTGTCTGATCATATAGTCCAAACGAGAACACCTGGGTCATAGTGATTTTCACACTGTATAAATAAAAAATAAATGTGAATTACTTCACATAAATGTTTTTTGCATAAAATCTGTTGTTAGATTCCTTGTTTCCTGGCATGCCATCCCAATAGTGACATATGTCAAAATATGGCAAAACTGTATAAAGTGAGTTTCCATGACACATTTACTTCATGGGGCAGATTGTATACCTCAGAGCTGTATGAACTTGTGCCACATCTAGTAGGTCAGAAGACCCATAATCACAAAATGTTTATCACTGAAAAGTGCATTTGCATGATTAGATTTGCCATAGTGGAGGTAAATTTGTCCTGAGCATCAGATTGGTACTACCCCTTGCTGAACAAATCTGCATCACTTAGGCATGGGTTCAGATCCCATATTCACCCTCATGATTAACCTTGGTTTGTCTGCACCACATGCTTGTGGGTTTCTATAGTGAGGTAAATACCAAAGACTTGCCTTTTGGGAGGGTTTCCTTCAACACTGTTCAAACTGGAGTTGAACCCAACTCACCTGAACACCACCCACTCACCCGGTGATCCCTACTGCTGTGTTGCTGTTGTCTCCCCTACTGTTGAACCCAACTCACCTGAACACCACCCACTCACCCGGTGATCCTTACTGCTGTGTTGCTGTTGTCTCCCCTACTGTTGAACCCAACTCACCTGAACACCACCCAACTCACCTGAACACCACCCACTCACCCGGTGATCTCTACTGCTGTGTTGCTGCAGGGGTTCAAAAAAAAATTAAAAAGCCACTTGCCACAGGGCGAGTGACTTTAAGAAAGTAACTTATCCTGACTAATTTTCCACTTGCCCTGATTTTATGACATAATTATGATGATGTAATTATGAAAAAAGAAATCAACATGGTATTTGATGTTAATGTTTACTGGACTATTTATTGAAAAGTGATAAATAACAAAGAAAGATAACTCTACTTTATCATCATTGCGAAATTTAATAGCTACATTTTGAGCAGATATGAAATTAAATCAAAGTTTATTTGCAGTTTGAAACCATAAGTGGAAATTATCTAGGACAAGTAAGATACCATTATTTGATTGCCCGAAATGAAAACTGACTTGTCCCGGGCGTCGGGCAATGGGATTTTTGAACCCCTGTGCTGTTGTCTCTCCTACTGTTGAACCATGTGACATATCACTAATGAGTCTCAGTTATGAGGTGCATGAGCTTAACTTCCAGTGTTATCTGAATGGCAGTATTCATTCAGTTCATTTCTTGCAAATAATGTTCAACTTCAACATGTGTCCCTCCCTCCTCAGCCGCTGAGCAGCTGCGGAACCGGACTGAGAATGCCAATGTGTTCCGTCTTGTGGAGGCCTATCGGCAGTTTGGACACAAGAAGGCCAGACTAGATCCCTTGGGGATTACACAGATCGGGTGAGGAGCTGGACTCGTTGCATCAAAACAACTTGTCATTATAATATGATTATTAATATTCTGATATTTATGGTACAAACAATGGTTAACCGCCTCCGTGGTGTAGTGGTTAGAGCGTCTGCCCGGAGAGCGGAAGGTCGCAGGTTCGATCCCCGGCCGCGTCATACCAAATGACGTTAACATATGGTACTTGTTGGTCCCTGCCTGGTGCTCGGCATTAATGGGTACATCAAGGACTGGTCGGCTCGGAGTCGGTATAATGTGTCTGAGTGGGGTATTCCTGCTTCACTGCGGCATGGTATCTCAGTGGGCTAGCACTATAAAACCAGCATAAGTCTGGGCTAGTACAAGCAGCCGCACATACATATACACATACACACGCATGCACGTCGTCATATGAGCGAAATATTCTCAAGCACGACGTAAAACCCAATTTCACCTCACCTCACCTCACAAACAATGGTATTCAGCAATAAATACACTTGTTCTATCATCTCACTGTTTGCCCCAGGGTTACAAATAATGTAGTGCAGTTCAATTAGCACCTTGTGAAGGATCAAACAGACAGTGCCAGGTGGAAGCTGAGCTGTGGTAGCGCGCTTGTTAGACAAGTCATCAGTTTCCGATTGTTTAAATTTATGCATTATGTGCAGTGGCTAAAACTTACTCAGCAAAACTCAAAACTGATAAGAAATTCGACTGATTTTCCTCAAATTACCCAGCTTTGTGCCTTAAAAGTGATAACTAACACAACAAGCTGTCAGGGTAAGGATATCATTTTGCAATGATCACACACGCTACTCCTTCAAGCCTACATACTACCGCTTAGTACATACTGAGACTTATTGTTCTCCAATTTGATTTGAACACGCTCAGCCCAACTTTGGGTGCCAATGTAGCAGCCATAACATTTCCAGCTCCCATGCTGGGATTTGAAACACAGACCTGATCCAATGCTGGATGCCTTGTCCACATGACTAAAGAGGTAAATAACCCTGCATCAGCAAAGTGCCATGGTATATCGTCTTGAGATGGCTCCACACACTACTAAACTCACCTCAACACTAAGGTTGCTAATATGAGACCAAGGACTTTATTCTTGAAGTACATATTATGTATGTAAAACTTTCCCATGTGTACATAAATACATGTAGGCCTACCTTAGGGTAATTTCCTGAAGTAATGATAGCACTACAATAGTTTCAGATAATTTGAGAATAGTATTTGTAACATTTACAATATTATAGGACCATTACAGAAACATTTGTTTTTCCAGAGATCCGGCGGAACTCTCACTCAGCAGGTTTGGACTGACCCCAAACCAAACTGTGGCCAGTCTTGATGGGATATACAACAACAGTCAGGGGCAGATAACTGTGGCAGACCTCATCACACAACTTGAACACATCTACTGCAGCCATGTTGCAGCTGAATTTTCACATTTACAGGTAAAGATAGGTAACATCTAGAAATAGTTCTTTCGTTGTGTGAGGGCCAAACTATATGGTTGTCTTATGGAATGTAATAATATAGGCCGCTTGATCACTTGATTATCTGATCCAGACTTAATTATTTACAGGCTGATGTGACGTGTGTGCTGGACTATTGCTGAAAGCAGCTAGGTAACAAACAAACTAAACTAAACTAAAGAAAACAGCCTCAGTTGATATCTTACAGTTATGTCGTCTGTCTTCTATTCCCCAGACTGAAGAGGAGAGAAGCTGGTTTGCTGCTGCCATGGAAACCAATGGTCAAAATTCACTCGAGGCAGATAGGCGGGTTGACCTTGCCAAACTTATGCTTAGATGTCAGGTGAGGCATACCCTGTTACAAAATATTGACAGATACGAAGAGTAATGTTTAGATTTCAGTACTAAATGTAGTGTGTTTGGCCCAGACTATTAACAATCCGCTTTGAAATACCTGGAATATTGCTGATTGCAGGGTGAAGAACTTAACTTTCTTCCTCACTCACTCACTCACTCACATACGACAGTAATGTAAAGAGTATGTTTATATGTACCTAGCTGTAGGCGGTTTCAACATTCAGTGAGCAGGATTTCCTGTCATGGTTAAATACTTTGCACAATATGTGGAACTAGAAAACATCCACTGGATTAAGCTTTCCATTTCAGTAAATATGTTTCGGTTGAATTTCAAAGTGTACCTTTAATAATCGTTTCATTATGTTGTTTCCATAGGCTTTTGATCATTTTTTGGCCAACAAGTTCACCACGGTGAAGCGTTATGGAGGAGAGGGCGGGGAGAGCATGATGGGAGTATTTGATGAGGTGTTCAGGAAGAGTGCATCAAGTATGTTGTTAATGTATAGAATTTCACCTTCATGCTATTTGATGTAAAATATAGCAACCTGAGTTGTTAAACATAAAAAGACATGAGTTACATTTTTTATTTATCATCCAAAATGATCCCATTGGGCTTCCCATCCACTGACATGTCTGTATAGCTGAAACAAGGTTTAATGTATCATGTTGAGTTTTGGTTTGATTTGGACTGCCTCAATTGTCTAGTGGATAGAGTGTCGGCCCTGAGATTAGAACTTGAATGGTTCAGTCCTCTCATACCTTGCAATTACGGGATAAAATATGGACTTGTTAACTCAGAGTCGGGATACTGTTGCTGCATTTGGGTATTTTGTGTTAAACTGCAGAAAAGTGTCTCAGTGGACTAGCAATGTAAAACCTGCAGTAGTCAGGATAGCCACACACATAAACACACACTCATAGAACACCATGTTAAACGCTGTTTGACACTGACTCACACACATAGCCACACACTCATAGAACACCATGTTAAACTCTGTCTGACATTGACTCACACACATAGCCACACACTCATAGAACACCATGTTAAACTCTGTCTGACACTGGCTCACACACATAGCCACACACTCATAGAACACCATGTTAAACTCTGTCTGACATTGACTCACACACATAGCCACACACTCATAGAACACCATGTTAGACTGTTTGACAATGACTCACACACATAGCCACACACTCATAGAACATGATGTTAGACTCTGTCTGACACTGACTCACACACATAGCCACCCACTCATAGAACACCATGTTAAACTCTGTCTGACACTGACTCACACACATAGCCACACACTCATAGAACACCATGTTAAACTCTGTCTGACATTGACTCACACACATAGCCACACACTCATAGAACACCATGTTAGACTCTGTTTGACAATGACTCACACACATAGCCACACACTCATAGAACATAATGTTAGACTCTGTTTGACATTGACTCACACACATAGCCACTCACTCATAGAACATAATGTTAAACTCTGTTTGACAATGACTCACACACATAGCCACACACTCATAGAACATGATGTTAGACTCTGTTTGACATTGACTCACACACATAGCCACACACTCAAAGAACACCATGTTAAACTCTGTTTGACAATGACTCACACACATAGCCACACACTCATAGAACATGATGTTAAACTCTGTTTGACAATGACTCACACACATAGCCACACACTCATAGAACATGATGTTAGACTCTGTTTGACAATGACTCACACACACAGCCACACACTCATAGAACATGATGTTAAACTCTGTTTGACATTGACTCACACACATAGCCACACACTCAAAGAACACCATGTTAAACTCTGTTTGACAATGACTCACACACATAGCCACACACTCATAGAACATGATGTTAAACTCTGTTTGACAATGACTCACACACATAGCCACACACTCATAGAACATGATGTTAAACTCTGTTTGACAATGACTCACACACATAGCCACACACTCATAGAACATGATGTTAAACTGTTTGACAATGACTCACACACATAGCCACACACTCATAGAACATGATGTTAAACTCTGTTTGACAATGACTCACACACATAGCCACACACTCATAGAACATGATGTTAAACTCTGTCTGACACTGGCTCACACACATAGCCACACACTCATAGAACACCATGTTAAACTCTGTCTGACATTGACTCACACACATAGCCACACACTCATAGAACACCATGTTAGACTCTGTTTGACAATGACTCACACACATAGCCACACACTCATAGAACATGATGTTAGACTCTGTCTGACACTGACTCACACACATAGCCACACACTCATAGAACACCATGTTAAACTCTGTCTTACACTGACTCACACACATAGCCACACACTCATAGAACACCATGTTAAACTCTGTCTGACATTGACTCACACACATAGCCACACACTCATAGAACACCATGTTAGACTCTGTTTGACAATGACTCACACACATAGCCACACACTCATAGAACATAATGTTAGACTCTGTCTGACATTGACTCACACACATAGCCACTCACTCATAGAACATAATGTTAAACTCTGTTTGACAATGACTCACACACATAGCCACGCACTCATAGAACATGATGTTAGACTCTGTTTGACATTGACTCACACACATAGCCACACACTCATAGAACATAATGTTAGACTCTGTTTGACAATGACTCACACACATAGCCACACACTCATAGAACATGATGTTAAACTCTGTTTGACAATGACTCACACACATATCCACACACTCATAGAACATGATGTTAAGCTCTGTTTGACATTGACTCACACACATAGCCACACACTCAAAGAACACCATGTTAAACTCTGTTTGACAATGACTCACACACATAGTCACACACTCATAGAACATAATGTTAAACTCTGTTTGACAATGACTCACACACATAGCCACACACTCATAGAACATGATCTTAAACTCTGTTTGACAATGACTCACACACATAGCCACACACTCATAGAACATGATGTTAGACTCTGTTTGACATTGACTCACACACATAGCCACACACTCATAGAACATAATGTTAGACTCTGTTTGACAATGACTCACACACATAGCCACACACTCATAGAACATGATGTTAAACTCTGTTTGACAATGACTCACACACATAGCCACACTCATAGAACATGATGTTAAACTCTGTTTGACAATGACTCACACACATAGCCACACACTCATAGAACATGATGTTAGACTCTGTTTGACATTGACTCCACACACATAGCCACACACTCATAGAACACCATGTTAAACTCTGTCTGACATTGACTCACACACATAGCCACACACTCATAGAACACCATGTTAGACTCTGTTTGACAATGACTCACACACATAGCCACACACTCATAGAACATAATGTTAGACTCTGTTTGACATTGACTCACACACATAGCCACTCACTCATAGAACATAATGTTAAACTCTGTTTGACAATGACTCACACACATAGCCACACACTCATAGAACATGATGTTAGACTCTGTTTGACATTGACTCACACACATAGCCACACTCAAAGAACACCATGTTAAACTCTGTTTGACAATGACTCACACACATAGCCACACACTCATAGAACATGATGTTAAACTCTGTTTGACAATGACTCACACACATAGCCACACACTCATAGAACATGATGTTAAGCTCTGTTTGACAATGACTCACACACACAGCCACACACTCATAGAACATGATGTTAAACTCTGTTTGACATTGACTCACACACATAGCCACACACTCAAAGAACACCATGTTAAACTCTGTTTGACAATGACTCACACACATAGCCACACACTCATAGAACATGATGTTAAACTCTGTTTGACAATGACTCACACACATAGCCACACACTCATAGAACATGATGTTAAACTGTTTGACAATGACTCACACACATAGCCACACACTCATAGAACATGATGTTAAACTCTGTTTGACAATGACTCACACACATAGCCACACACACTCATAGAACACCATGTTAAACTCTGTCTGACACTGGCTCACACACATAGCCACACACACTCATAGAACACCATGTTAAACTCTGTCTGACATTGACTCACACACATAGCCACACACTCATAGAACACCATGTTAGACTCTGTTTGACAATGACTCACACACATAGCCACACACTCATAGAACATGATGTTAGACTCTGTCTGACACTGACTCACACATAGCCACACACTCATAGAACACCATGTTAAACTCTGTCTGACACTGACTCTCACACACATAGCCACTCACTCATAGAACACCATGTTAAACTCTGTCTGACATTGACTCACACACATAGCCACACACTCATAGAACACCATGTTAGACTCTGTTTGACAATGACTCACACACATAGCCACACACTCATAGAACATGATGTTAGACTCTGTTTGACATTGACTCACACACATAGCCACTCACTCATAGAACATAATGTTAAACTCTGTTTGACAATGACTCACACACATAGCCACACACTCATAGAACATGATGTTAGACTCTGTTTGACATTGACTCACACACATAGCCACACACTCATAGAACATAATGTTAGACTCTGTTTGACAATGACTCACACACATAGCCACACACTCATAGAACATGATGTTAAACTCTGTTTGACAATGACTCACACACATATCCACACACTCATAGAACATGATGTTAAGCTCTGTTTGACAATGACTCACACACATAGCCACACACTCATAGAACATGATGTTAAACTCTGTTTGACATTGACTCACACACATAGCCACACACTCATAGAACACCATGTTAAACTCTGTTTGACAATGACTCACACACATAGCCACACACTCATAGAACATAATGTTAAACTCTGTTTGACAATGACTCACACACATAGCCACACACTCATAGAACATGATGTTAAACTCTGTTTGACAATGACTCACACACATAGCCACACACTCATAGAACATGATGTTAGACTCTGTTTGACATTGACTCACTCACATAGCCACACACTCATAGAACATAATGTTAGACTCTGTTTGACAATGACTCACACACATAGCCACACACTCATAGAACATGATGTTAAACTCTGTTTGACAATGACTCACACACATAGCCACACACTCATAGAACATGATGTTAAACTCTGTTTGACAATGACTCACACACATAGCCACACACTCATAGAACATGATGTTAAACTCTGTTTGACAATGACTCACACACATAGCCACACACTCAAAGAACATGATGTTAAACTCTGTTTGACAATGACTCACACACATAGTCACACACTCATAGAACATAATGTTAAACTCTGTTTGACAATGACTCACACACATAGCCACACACTCATAGAACATGATCTTAAACTCTGTTTGACAATGACTCACACACATAGCCACACACTCATAGAACATGATGTTAGACTCTGTTTGACATTGACTCACACACATAGCCACACACTCATAGAACATAATGTTAGACTCTGTTTGACAATGACTCACACACATAGCCACACACTCATAGAACATGATGTTAAACTCTGTTTGACAATGACTCACACACATAGCCACACACTCATAGAACATGATGTTAAACTCTGTTTGACAATGACTCACACACATAGCCACACACTCATAGAACATGATGTTAGACTCTGTTTGACATTGACTCACACACATAGCCACACACTCATAGAACACCATGTTAAACTCTGTCTGACATTGACTCACACACATAGCCACACACTCATAGAACACCATGTTAGACTCTGTTTGACAATGACTCACACACATAGCCACACACTCATAGAACATAATGTTAGACTCTGTTTGACATTGACTCACACACATAGCCACTCACTCATAGAACATAATGTTAAACTCTGTTTGACAATGACTCACACACATAGCCACACACTCATAGAACATGATGTTAGACTCTGTTTGACATTGACTCACACACATAGCCACACACTCAAAGAACACCATGTTAAACTCTGTTTGACAATGACTCACACACATAGCCACACACTCATAGAACATGATGTTAAACTCTGTTTGACAATGACTCACACACATAGCCACACACTCATAGAACATGATGTTAAGCTCTGTTTGACAATGACTCACACACACAGCCACACACTCATAGAACATGATGTTAAACTCTGTTTGACATTGACTCACACACATAGCCACACACTCAAAGAACACCATGTTAAACTCTGTTTGACAATGACTCACACACATAGCCACACACTCATAGAACATGATGTTAAACTCTGTTTGACAATGACTCACACACATAGCCACACACTCATAGAACATGATGTTAAACTGTTTGACAATGACTCACACACATAGCCACACACTCATAGAACATGATGTTAAACTCTGTTTGACAATGACTCACACACATAGCCACACACTCATAGAACACCATGTTAAACTCTGTCTGACACTGGCTCACACACATAGCCACACACTCATAGAACACCATGTTAAACTCTGTCTGACATTGACTCACACACATAGCCACACACTCATAGAACACCATGTTAGACTCTGTTTGACAATGACTCACACACATAGCCACACACTCATAGAACATGATGTTAGACTCTGTCTGACACTGACTCACACACATAGCCACACACTCATAGAACACCATGTTAAACTCTGTCTGACACTGACTCACACACATAGCCACACACACTCATAGAACACCATGTTAAACTCTGTCTGACATTGACTCACACACATAGCCACACACTCATAGAACACCATGTTAGACTCTGTTTGACAATGACTCACACACATAGCCACACACTCATAGAACATGATGTTAGACTCTGTTTGACATTGACTCACACACATAGCCACTCACTCATAGAACATAATGTTAAACTCTGTTTGACAATGACTCACACACATAGCCACACACACTCATAGAACATGATGTTAGACTCTGTTTGACATTGACTCACACACACATAGCCACACACTCATAGAACATAATGTTAGACTCTGTTTGACAATGACTCACACACATAGCCACACACTCATAGAACATGATGTTAAACTCTGTTTGACAATGACTCACACACATATCCACACACTCATAGAACATGATGTTAAGCTCTGTTTGACAATGACTCACACACATAGCCACACACTCATAGAACATGATGTTAAACTCTGTTTGACATTGACTCACACACATAGCCACACACTCATAGAACACCATGTTAAACTCTGTTTGACAATGACTCACACACATAGCCACACACTCATAGAACATAATGTTAAACTCTGTTTGACAATGACTCACACACATAGCCACACACTCATAGAACATGATGTTAAACTCTGTTTGACAATGACTCACACACATAGCCACACACTCATAGAACATGATGTTAGACTCTGTTTGACATTGACTCACTCACATAGCCACACACTCATAGAACATAATGTTAGACTCTGTTTGACAATGACTCACACACATAGCCACACACTCATAGAACATGATGTTAAACTCTGTTTGACAATGACTCACACACATAGCCACACACTCATAGAACATGATGTTAAACTCTGTTTGACAATGACTCACACACATAGCCACACACTCATAGAACATGATGTTAAACTCTGTTTGACAATGACTCACACACATAGTCACACACTCATAGAACATGATGTTAAACTCTGTTTGACAATGACTCACACACATAGCCACACACTCATAGAACATGATGTTAAACTCTGTTTGACAATGACTCACACATAGCCACACACTCATAGAACATGATGTTAAACTCTGTTTGACAATGACTCACACACATAGCCACACACTCATAGAACATGATGTTAAACTCTGTTTGACAATGACTCACACACATAGCCACACACTCATAGAACATGATGTTAAACTCTGTTTGACAATGACTCACACACATAGCCACACACTCATAGAACATGATGTTAAACTGTTTGACAATGACTCACACACATAGCCACACTCATAGAACATGATGTTAGACTCTGTTTGACAATGACTCACACACATAGCCACACACTCATAGAACACCATGTTAAACTCTGTCTGACACTGGCTCACACACATAGCCACACACTCATAGAACACCATGTTAAACTCTGTCTGACATTGACTCACACACATAGCCACACACTCATAGAACACCATGTTAGACTCTGTTTGACAATGACTCACACACATAGCCACACACTCATAGAACATGATGTTAGACTCTGTCTGACACTGACTCACACACATAGCCACACACTCATAGAACACCATGTTAAACTCTGTCTGACACTGACTCACACACATAGCCACACACTCATAGAACACCATGTTAAACTCTGCCTGACATTGACTCACACACATAGCCACACACTCATAGAACATGATGTTAAACTCTGTTTGACAATGACTCACACACATAGCCACACACTCATAGAACATGATGTTAGACTCTGTTTGACATTGACTCACACACATAGCCACTCACTCATAGAACATAATGTTAAACTCTGTTTGACAATGACTCACACACATAGCCACACACTCATAGAACATGATGTTAAACTCTGTTTGACAGTGACTCACACACATAGCCACACACTCATAGAACATGATGTTAAACTCTGTTTGACAATGACTCACACACATAGCCACACACTCATAGAACATGATGTTAAACTCTGTTTGACAATGACTCACACACATAGCCACACACTCATAGAACATGATGTTAGACTCTGTTTGACATTGACTCACTCACATAGCCACACACTCATAGAACATAATGTTAGACTCTGTTTGACAATGACTCACACACATAGCCACACACTCATAGAACATGATGTTAAACTCTGTTTGACAATGACTCACACACATAGCCACACACTCATAGAACATGATGTTAAACTCTGTTTGACAATGACTCACACACATAGCCACACACTCATAGAACATGATGTTAAACTCTGTTTGACAATGACTCACACACATAGTCACACACTCATAGAACATGATGTTAAACTCTGTTTGACAATGACTCACACACATAGCCACACACTCATAGAACATGATGTTAAACTCTGTTTGACAATGACTCACACACATAGCCACACACTCATAGAACATGATGTTAAACTCTGTTTGACAATGACTCACACACATAGCCACACACTCATAGAACATGATGTTAAACTCTGTTTGACAATGACTCACACACATAGCCACACACTCATAGAACACCATGTTAGACTCTGTTTGACAATGACTCACACACATAGCCACACACTCATAGAACATGATGTTAAACTCTGTTTGACAATGACTCACACACATAGCCACACACTCATAGAACACCATGTTAAACTCTGTCTGACACTGGCTCACACACATAGCCACACACTCATAGAACACCATGTTAAACTCTGTCTGACATTGACTCACACACATAGCCACACACTCATAGAACACCATGTTAGACTCTGTTTGACAATGACTCACACACATAGCCACACACTCATAGAACATGATGTTAGACTCTGTCTGACACTGACTCACACACATAGCCACACACTCATAGAACACCATGTTAAACTCTGTCTGACACTGACTCACACACATAGCCACACACTCATAGAACACCATGTTAAACTCTGTCTGACATTGACTCACACACATAGCCACACACTCATAGAACATAATGTTAGACTCTGTTTGACATTGACTCACACACATAGCCACTCACTCATAGAACATAATGTTAAACTCTGTCTGACATTGACTCACACACATAGCCACACACTCATAGAACATGATGTTAAACTCTGTTTGACATTGACTCACACACATAGCCACACACTCATAGAACATAATGTTAGACTCTGTTTGACAATGACTCACACACATAGCCACACACTCATAGAACATGATGTTAAACTCTGTTTGACAATGACTCACACACATAGCCACACACTCATAGAACATGATCTTAAACTCTGTTTGACAATGACTCACACACATAGCCACACACTCATAGAACATGATGTTAAACTCTGTTTGACAATGACTCACACACATAGCCACACACTCATAGAACATGATGTTAAACTCTGTTTGACAATGACTCACACACATAGCCACACACTCATAGAACATGATGTTAAACTGTTTGACAATGACTCACACACATAGCCACACACTCATAGAACATGATGTTAAACTCTGTTTGACAATGACTCACACACATAGCCACACACTCATAGAACATAATGTTAGACTCTGTTTGACAATGACTCACACACATAGCCACACATTCATAGAACATGATGTTAGACTCTGTTTGACATTGACTCGCCTCTGTTTCAGATGACATTTCAGATATTGTGTTGTGCATGCCCCATAGAGGGCGCCTCAACTTTCTCACATGTATGCTGGACTTTCCGCCAGCTGTTCTGTTCAGAAAGGTACATTTTCATCTACATGTATGATTTACCCAAGTAGTGTTTCAACTCTTCAGAAATGTATCATAATTCACATATAAGTCATACAGATTTAAAAAAAGGAACAACTGAACTGTGTGACAATGTTCAGATACGGGGGAAGACTGAACTGTGTGACAATGTTCTGATGCTGTTGAAGACTGAACTGTGTGACAATGTTGTATGTTACAGTTGCAGGGGAAGACTGAACTGTGTGACAATGTTCTGTGTTACAGATGCAGGGGAAGACTGAACTGTGTGACAATGTTGTATGTTACAGTTGCAGGGGAAGACTGAACTGTGTGACAATGTTGTATGTTACAGTTGCAGGGGAAGACTGAACTGTGTGACAATGTTGTATGTTACAGTTGCAGGGGAAGACTGAACTGTGTGACAATGTTGTATGTTACAGATGCAGGGGAAGACTGAACTGTGTGACAATGTTGTATGTTACAGTTGCAGGGGAAGCCTGAACTGTGTGACAATGTTGTATGTTACAGATGCAGGGGAAGCCTGAACTGTGTGACAATGTTCTGTGTTACAGATGCAGGGGAAGACTGAACTGTGTGACAATGTTGTATGTTACAGATGCAGGGGAAGCCTGAACTGTGTGACAATGTTGTATGTTACAGTTGCAGGGGAAGCCTGAACTGTGTGACAATGTTCTGTGTTACAGATGCAGGGGAAGACTGAACTGTGTGACAATGTTGTATGTTACAGATGCAGGGGAAGCCTGAACTGTGTGACAATGTTGTATGTTACAGTTGCAGGGGAAGCCTGAACTGTGTGACAATGTTCTGTGTTACAGATGCAGGGGAAGACTGAACTGTGTGACAATGTTCTGTGTTACAGATGCAGGGGAAGACTGAACTGTGTGACAATGTTGTATGTTACAGTTGCAGGGGAAGACTGAACTGTGTGACAATGTTCTGTGTTACAGTTACAGTGTGCAGGGGAAGAAGACTGAACTGTGTGACAATGTTGTATGTTACAGATGCAGGGGAAGACTGAACTGTGTGACAATGTTGTATGTTACAGTTGCAGGGGAAGACTGAACTGTGTGACAATGTTCTGTGTTACAGTTGCAGGGGAAGACTGAACTGTGTGACAATGTTGTATGTTACAGATGCAGGGGAAGCCTGAACTGTGTGACAATGTTGTATGTTACAGATGCAGGGGAAGACTGAACTGTGTGACAATGTTCTGTGTTACAGTTGCAGGGGAAGACTGAACTGTGTGACAATGTTGTATGTTACAGATGCAGGGGAAGACTGAACTGTGTGACAATGTTGTATGTTACAGATGCAGGGGAAGACTGAACTGTGTGACAATGTTGTATGTTACAGATGCAGGGGAAGCCTGAACTGTGTGACAATGTTCTGTGTTACAGATGCAGGGGAAGCCTGAACTGTGTGACAATGTTCTGTGTTACAGATGCAGGGGAAGCCTGAACTGTGTGACAATGTTCTGTGTTACAGATGCAGGGGAAGCCTGAACTGTGTGACAATGTTCTGTGTTACAGATGCAGGGGAAGCCTGAACTGTGTGACAATGTTCTGTGTTACAGATGCAGGGGAAGACTGAACTGTGTGACAATGTTCTGTGTTACAGATGCAGGGGAAGACTGAACTGTGTGACAATGTTCTGTGTTACAGATGCAGGGGAAGACTGAACTGTGTGACAATGTTGTATGTTACAGTTGCAGGGGAAGCCTGAACTGTGTGACAATGTTGTATGTTACAGATGCAGGGGAAGACTGAACTGTGTGACAATGTTCTGTGTTACAGATGCAGGGGAAGACTGAACTGTGTGACAATGTTCTGTGTTACAGATGCAGGGGAAGCCTGAACTGTGTGACAATGTTCTGTGTTACAGATGCAGGGGAAGCCCTGAACTGTGTGACAATGTTCTGTGTTACAGATGCAGGGGAAGACTGAACTGTGTGACAATGTTGTATGTTACAGATGCAGGGGAAGACTGAACTGTGTGACAATGTTCTGTGTTACAGATGCAGGGGAAGACTGAACTGTGTGACAATGTTGTATGTTACAGTTGCAGGGGAAGCCTGAACTGTGTGACAATGTTGTATGTTACAGATGCAGGGGAAGACTGAACTGTGTGACAATGTTCTGTGTTACAGATGCAGGGGAAGACTGAACTGTGTGACAATGTTCTGTGTTACAGATGCAGGGGAAGACTGAACTGTGTGACAATGTTGTATGTTACAGATGCAGGGGAAGACTGAACTGTGTGACAATGTTCTGTGTTACAGATGCAGGGGAAGACTGAACTGTGTGACAATGTTGTATGTTACAGATGCAGGGGAAGACTGAACTGTGTGACAATGTTGTATGTTACAGATGCAGGGGAAGCCTGAACTGTGTGACAATGTTCTGTGTTACAGATGCAGGGAAGCCTGAACTGTGTGACAATGTTCTGTGTTACAGATGCAGGGAAGCCTGAACTGTGTGACAATGTTCTGTGTTACAGATGCAGGGGAAGACTGAACTGTGTGACAATGTTCTGTGTTACAGATGCAGGGGAAGACTGAACTGTGTGACAATGTTCTGTGTTACAGATGCAGGGGAAGACTGAACTGTGTGACAATGTTGTATGTTACAGATGCAGGGGAAGACTGAACTGTGTGACAATGTTCTATGTTACAGATGCAGGGAAGCCTGAACTGTGTGACAATGTTCTGTGTTACAGATGCAGGGAAGAACTGTGTGATGACAACTGTTCTGTGTTACAGATGGGAAGACTGAACTGTGTGACAATGTTGTATGTTACAGATGCAGGGGAAGACTGAACTGTGTGACAATGTTACAGATGCAGGGGAAGACTGAATGTTACAGATGTTACAGATGGGGAAGACTGAACTGTGTGACAATGTTCTGTGTTACAGATGCAGGGGAAGCCTGAACTGTGTGACAATGTTTGTATGTTACAGATGCAGGGAAGACTGAACTGTGTGACAATGTTGACAATATGTTACAGATGCAGGGGAAGACTGAACTGTGTGACAATGTTGTATGTTACAGAAGACAGACTGAAACTGTGTGACAATGTTCTGTGTTACAGATGCAGGGGAAGACTGAACTGTGTGACAATGTTGTATGTTACAGATGCAGGGGAAGACTGAACTGTGTGACAATGTTGTATGTTACAGATGCAGGGGAAGCCTGAACTGTGTGACAATGTTCTGCGTTACAGATGCAGGGGAAGACTGAACTGTGTGACAATGTTGTGTGTTACAGATGCAGGGGAAGACTGAACTGTGTGACAATGTTCTGTGTTACAGATGCAGGGGAAGCCTGAACTGTGTGACAATGTTCTGTGTTACAGATGCAGGGGAAGACTGAACTGTGTGACAATGTTGTATGTTACAGATGCAGGGGAAGACTGAACTGTGTGACAATGTTGTATGTTACAGATGCAGGGGAAGACTGAACTGTGTGACAATGTTCTGTGTTACAGATGCAGGGGAAGAACTGAACTGTGTTACAGATCACAGGGAAGAGACTGAACTGTGTGACAATGTTGTATGTTACAGATGCAGGGAAGACTGAACTGTGTGACAATGTTGTATGTTACAGATGCAGGGAAGACTGAACTGTGTGACAATGTTGTATGTTACAGATGCAGGGAAGACTGAACTGTGTGACAATGTTGTATGTTACAGATGCAGGGGAAGACTGAACTGTGTGACAATGTTGTATGTTACAGATGCAGGGGAAGACTGAACTGTGTGACAATGTTGTATGTTACAGATGCAGGGGAAGACTGAACTGTGTGACAATGTTGTATGTTACAGATGCAGGGGAAGACTGAACTGTGTGACAATGTTGTATGTTACAGATGCAGGGGAAGACTGAACTGTGTGACAATGTTCTGTGTTACAGATGCAGGGGAAGACTGAACTGTGTGACAATGTTGTATGTTACAGATGCAGGGGAAGACTGAACTGTGTGACAATGTTGTATGTTACAGATGCAGGGGAAGACTGAACTGTGTGACAATGTTGTATGTTACAGATGCAGGGGAAGACTGAACTGTGTGACAATGTTCTGTGTTACAGATGCAGGGGAAGACTGAACTGTGTGACAATGTTGTATGTTACAGATGCAGGGGAAGACTGAACTGTGTGACAATGTTGTATGTTACAGATGCAGGGGAAGACTGAACTGTGTGACAATGTTGTATGTTACAGATGCAGGGGAAGACTGAACTGTGTGACAATGTTCTGTGTTACAGATGCAGGGGAAGACTGAACTGTGTGACAATGTTGTATGTTACAGATGCAGGGGAAGCCTGAACTGTGTGACAATGTTGTATGTTACAGATGCAGGGGAAGACTGAACTGTGTGACAATGTTGTATGTTACAGATGCAGGGAAGCCTGAACTGTGTGACAATGTTGTATGACAGATGAAAGACTGAACTTGACAATGTTGTATGTTACAGATGGGAAGACTGAACTGTGTGACAATGTTACAGATGTGAATGTTACAGATGCAGATGGGAAGACTGAACTGTGTGACAATGTTCTGTGTTACAGATGCAGGGAAGACTGAACTGTGTGACAATGTTGTATGTTACAGATGCAGGGAAGACTGAACTGTGTGACAATGTTCTATGTTACAGATGCAGGGAAGACTGAACTGTGTGACAATGTTGTATGTTACAGATGCAGGGGAAGACTGAACTGTGTGACAATGTTCTGTGTTACAGATGCAGGGGAAGACTGAACTGTGTGACAATGTTGTATGTTACAGATGCAGGGGAAGACTGAACTGTGTGACAATGTTCTATGTTACAGATGCAGGGGAAGACTGAACTGTGTGACAATGTTGTATGTTACAGATGCAGGGGAAGACTGAACTGTGTGACAATGTTGTATGTTACAGATGCAGGGGAAGACTGAACTGTGTGACAATGTTGTATGTTACAGATGCAGGGGAAGCCTGAACTGTGTGACAATGTTGTA